TAAAAAAACAGGAAGGGGGCAAAAACCTTTTCACAGCACTGTAAATGCTCAGTTTAATTTATAGCCTTTTTTTTTAGCATCTTGCACACTAAAAGTGCCCTCTAGCACTACCAGCGTGGCTACTGGTAACTGATTGCTTTATAAAAGAGTCAAAGACCTTTGGTGTCAATATACTGATTCCAAAGGCATCAATATTTTTATGATCATAAAGCTAGTTTCTCAAAATATCTTGATCATTTTTCACATGTGTGTGTATACTCACTATTGAATTAATTCCATTTAATCTATTGTTTGTATCCAGGCAAGGTTCTACGTGGGTGTTAAAGCAAGAGCACCCTCAGGTGAAGCTTGTAAAAATAGGGTACTGGTGAAACAACAATTGACAAACACTCCAGTGCATTTAAACTTTAAAGAATTCTATTTACAATGTGTTTTTGCAGCATTGATCAATGTAGCCACTAGCTACTGTACATATCTGTTGATTTCTTGAACGCAGTGGCCAATCAGAGGTGTTTTAATTCAGAGTCATAAACAAAAATCTTTTTTACTCTTTCAGCATTAACATCTAAAACATCTTTAACATCTATTTGCTACTCGTGTAATCAGGTGGTTTGTGGTTCACTACTACTCTCAATAGCTCTTTGTACAGCGAGAGTGGCTGTATTGAAGCCCACCGCTGGAAATCTTTGTTGGAGTAAATTACTGCTCTTGAGATCAGAGAATGCGTGGGTTTGTTCAGAGCCTCCTGTGGAACTCAGAAGGTTGTGCCAGATCCATAACTCAACCTTGATAACTCAAGACACAAACAAGAAAGCTGGTTGTTTATGTTGGTGCCCAACATGGCAACAATGGTTCGACATTGGTACTAATTGTTAGTCCCCCCCCCCCAAAAAAAACAGTTCAACTCATACAAGACTTTTCAGAGAAACTGCATTGTGAGGAGCACTCCAGGATACCCCTCAGGTGTCTGCTCTATCTGACTGGATTTTAAAGAGGTTTCTAAGTATTTTTTACAATTTACCAATTCACAAATTCTATCTTTCAAAAATTAGCTGATACATAATTTGTAGCCTCTGTCACTGTTTAGGCTTTCAAGTTGGAGAAGTCATTTTGAGGTCTATGCTCAAAAGGTGGGACTGACAGTTAGCATGTTAAACAAAACTTTAAAGTGATTTTTTTACGCTTCTGTTTATTATTATTATTATTTTGAATTCTTAGAAGTCATAAATTCTTAGCCCACTACTACATATTAAATGGACTGAAATCAATGGCATTTATACTGGTAATTATTATTTCGTATAAATGTCATATAATGAAATATTCAATTAATATTTCTCACTAATATTAGTTTTGCTGTGGTTTGTGAATATCATTTCAAATATTTTCTCTGATTTTTTAAATTTAAAGATAGTTAATGCAGTAGTAAGTAACAAGGTAATAAAACAGCTTTAAAAACATTTAAATATTTGCACATTCATGTGTTGCTAGAAAGTTATTAATCAAATGGTTTATTTTTTATTTTTTCAAAATTATTACTTTTTTTTCACTTGGGACCTGGGAATACAAGAAGTGATGACAAATGTTAAATTAATTAGGAAATATTAAATGTGAACCAGTCTGCAGTGCCCTACACTGTGTCCTAACCTGTCATGACACAACATAACTACTTAAAGATATATTTTGTAAATATGAGTTTGTCTCAACCAACTGTGACTGTGATGAGCAACAGGATTTGCAGATAGCTGTGTTTCTATTTCTTCTGTGTCATGCTCAGTTGCGATTGTGTCAGGCCTTAGAGCAGTTTTGGATCCAGTATGGATATGCAAATGCTTGTCGCTGGAAACTTTTTCTATGGAAGCTGATGTGGCAATAAACTTAAATTAAACTTAAACTGAAACTTTTTCTATGGTTATAAAACAGTTAACATGCTTTTGTGGTTTTAAAGATTAGACCATGCATGCATACTTAAAGTCTAGCTCTTTTTCCTGAATTTGGTTTTACTTTTTGATCTTGCTTAATTGTCATAGAAGATAGATGATGGCCCTTCTTAATGGTGTACCTGTAAGACATTAATGTAACCAAAACGATGTTTGTAAGATAGAACAATATTGCAGTTCTGCGTTATAAATACGGAGTGTGAAACTTTAGATTGGACATTTTGGGCAGGTTTCTCTCCTGGTACTTTGCTTTGGACGTTATTAACACCTCTCAACACACTCTTCTGCATTCTCAGACTCTCATTCTCTTCTCTTCTTTCTCCATAGGGAGCAGCACTGCTGACTGGCTGTGGTCCCTGCCGTGTCTCCGTGGAGAACAGTTCTTGCAAAGGGAGAGAAAGCTGGCCAACGTGCAGACTCTGGTCCTCAAAGAATGCTGTCGTAAGTGTTTCCCAGGCAACGGAAAATCTTTCACCAGGACCTCTTTAAGTAGTCACCCCAGAGCAGCACATTTCTAATCATATTCCCTCTGGTCACACATTCTCAGTCTCACACGAGCGCTTTCTGAAAATTAAGATCTCTTATGCGGTAAACAATAGAGATTTTGTCAGACTCTCAACGCCTACTGTGTTAACAGGGGTTGATGCATGATAGACTATTTGATTGATAGATTAATTGTGGTATGTCAGAGCACTGTTATTAGGCTTGTAGCTAATAAATTCAGGTTAGTTCCTAGGCTTTATCAGATGTTTGACACATTTTCTTTGCAGACTTGGTATACAGAGCACTGTTATCAGTAGGGGTGCCTCCGATCAGGATTTTTGAGGCCGATCGCCAATCACAGAAAGCAGTATCTGCCGATACCGATCTTTTTAAAGCCTTCTTTTTTATCATTTGTAACTATTTATAGTGATACTCATAGTGATTTTTAGACATTTATTCAGGGCCTGAATTTCATTTTTGAAAATGGGTGGAATTCCCCTCTTAGGTGTCTCTTGTGAGGGGGGAAGCAGCTTTCACACAGGAGTCCGCTACTGATCTGTGGCTGTTTACCACAAACACAACATTTATCCATTATTTTGATTTCAAATCCAAACATTGTCACTGAAAATGCTTTTTCAGCATTGCAATTCTTTTTTTTACACAGTACAGTAATACAATCTTTCACCGACATGTTTAAGCACAATAAATATAAGCAACACATTATTCAATGCTTTTTACTTTTGCTTTTACTTCTAGATTTATATATTAAGTTGCTCAAGCAATTGGCAAAACATTTCAACTACTTTTCTTACGTTATCACAAACCATTGGCAGAAATAGACAGCTCAACTGCCTTTTCTTTTGCATTTAAATCTTTATTACAAACAATCCTGCGGTTCATAAAGAGCTTTGTTTTCCTACGCACGAGTGCCATCTATTATTGCCGCCTTTATCTAAAAGTGCTCTTTCCCTTTAAACCTAGCCAAAAAGCCACATGTGTTGACTGTGAAACACAGTAGACTTTAATAATATGCATTTATGGTGTAATCACTACATTTTCGTGTCAATCCAGTGCTCTTTCCCTTTAAACCTAGCCAACAAAGCAATGTGTTGACTGTGAAACAGAGTAGACTTCAATAATATGCATTTATGGTGTAATTACTACATTTTCGTGTCAAGTCATGTTCATATTTACTGCAAACATTGCACTGTTACTTTAATTCAGCGCTTGCAGCGCAGCAGTAGACTCGGTGCGGAAACGATCTCTGCACTGCTGCAGACGCACCGCACCTGAACGCACTGCCGGACAGCAACCGTGTGCAATTCCTGTGTCAAATGTGCAGCGTGTACCTCACTTATAGACAGATGCGATGTGTGGTGATTTGAAGCCATTTGCGTATTTTGAGAGAGAAAGAGAGAGAGAGCGCGCGGTGATTCACTCTCAGTAGACTCGGTGCGGAAACGATCTCTGCACTGCTGCAGACGCACCGCACCTGAACGCACTGCCGGACAGCAACCGTGTGCAATTCCTGTGTCAAATGTGCAGCGTGTACCTCACTTATAGACAGATGCGATGTGTGGTGATTTGAAGCCATTTGCGTATTATGAGAGAGAAAGAGAGAGCGAGCACGCGCGGTGACTCACTCATGCTGTTTGTGAAATTACGTCTCACACAAGGTTTTCAAATTACTTTAAGTTATTTGATGAAAAAATATAATTATAAGAATTATGATTATTTCACCTGCGCCAGACAGAGACTGAGACGGTGCTGCTGCATGTCGTGCCAAACCTCTCACGGCAGCGTCATCAGCTTGAGATCGTTTTTTTTTAGATCAGCCTTTTAGAGACTGCCAATCAATCATCCCATCGTGATTATCGGCCAATAGTGATCGGTAGCCTATCAATCGGAGCATCCCTAGTGATCGGTATCGGCAGATACTGCTCTCTGTGATTGGCCTCAAAAATCCTGATCGGAGCACCCCTATTCATTAGTGTCTTACAAGAAAATTAACAACAACATGAAACCGATAAAATATGTAACAGATTGGTTTGAAAGGCTAGTGTGATTAATGAGAGACATTTAATGATGCATCTCATCTGTGGCTAGGGCAACGAGAGGAGGCCCAGAAGCCTGCCGCTATTCCTGTGAATGAACTGAAGGCTCTACTAAATCTGGCCAGAGAGCAGTACCTTGAGATGCACGACTCCATACTGCCTAGAACGTCTGAACGCATGTGCATGAAGAAGGAGAATCAGACTTCCTCTTGTAACATCAGTGGTGAGGAGTACTTTAATATAGAGCAGTTTGCTTTAGGTATACATTTGTAATCATTTTGATGGACAGTGATAGTCAATAATTATTATATTATGATCAATTTATATTATTATTAGGGCTGCCCCCTAATAGTTGACTAACCGCTAGTCGACGAGAAGAGGCTTAATCAATACAAATTTTATTAGTCGCCAAAAAAATCATGTAGTCCGTGACGGACAGATTATTGACAGCTGGTCTATGTGGTAATTACAGTACATCGGAATCCAAATGTTCGTTTCATTCACCGACCGCAAATGTGCTTATCATCTGAAACATGTAAATAATAGCAACATTACATGGCTGCTCGCTCTAACGTTAACCTAGAAAAGTGTGTGTTATTCAAGTGTTTGTGCGGAGTGTGGAAGCTGAATAGTAGCGCTCTCACTGCATGACAGTTCACTTGGAGGCACTAGTGTGATCATTTGCATTTAACTTAAAATGCTCTGTCATTTTTGCTCATAGAGAGTAATTTGAATTTGTAAAAGGTTTACTTTTATTTGTGTGCGCTTACAATAACAACAAAATGTTGTGCTTTTGTAAAATAATGAAAGCAAACGGTGCTCTTTCTGCCATCTAAGGTTAGGTCTCTGTGAACTTGAGCACGTCAAAAAATTTATTGAGACTTTGTGGTTGCCTCACAGAAATAAAAAAAGTGAAATGTCTACTTTTAAATGAACCAATTCAAATGGAAAACATATATTTTCAGATTATGTAATCCATATGAAACATGCACGTCCACTGTGGAGATGACAAGTCAGTGTCATCGACGACTTCACTGCAGCCGAAAATACAGAAAACACTAGTTTATCAGTGAATTATTAGAATGTTAAGGCAGTCTTCTTGCTCTTTTTTTCCCTGATGCATTCATAATCATTACTTCTACTGGTGTGCGAAATTAATATAATAAAATCCAGTTTAGACCAGTGCTTCTAGACTGGTTTCACATTGTTACCCAGATTTATATTATGTCAAGTGGCGAGCCAACATAGTACCAGATATGTTCATTGTTCAAAAGTTAAAGGGGTCATATGATGCAATTAAAATTTTTCCTTTCTCTTTGGAGTGTTACAAGCTCTTGGTGCATAAAGAAGATCTGTAACGCTGCAAAGACTAAAGTCTCAAATCCAAAGAGATATTCTTTATAAAAGTTAAGATTCAACCACGCCTACCTGAAACGGCTCATTCTAACACGCCCCCACATGTCTACGTCACGATGTGGGAAGATTTGCATAACGCCGCCCAAATGTTCACGCAAAGAAAGAAGGCATAACTTTTATTCTCGCTGTAGTATTGTTGCTGCTGCCGCCATGTCGTGAAGATGCTGTGTGTTTCGTTGTGAAAGCGAAACTACTTTGTTTGGCCTTCCAAAAGAGGACGGTATCCGCTTCGTCATGCCTAGAGCTGATCCGTGCTGGTCACTGAGGAAATACATAAGCTTCGTGCTGTGGATCGCTGGATAGGCAATAACTGTTCCAGAACAGTTCATCCCAAATATTCAGATGTGTGCAGCGTATTTTATGGAGGACTGTTTCCTGATCCTGGTAGAGAAGACTACAATGCTGGCTGTTCTGACTCTCAGTCTTGCTGGTCACTGAGGAAATACATAAGCTTCGTGCTGTGGATCGCTGGATAGGCGATAACTGTTCCAGAACAGTTCATCCCAAATATTCAGATGTGTGCAGCGCATTTTATGGAGGACTGTTTCCTGATCCTGGTAGAGAAGACTACAATGCTGGCTGTTCTGACTCTCAGTCTGTTTTCATATGGATTTGCCACTGATGATTCAAACGCAAGTTTTGAGCAGTGTAGAGTAGCACTTGTTGTTTGTCATTTCTCCGATCACAAACATGTCGTGAAGATGCTGTGTGTTTCGTTGTGAAAGCGAAACTACTTTGTTTGGCCTTCCAAAAGAGGACGGTATCCGCTTCGTCATGCCTAGAGCTGATCCGTGCTGGTCACTGAGGAAATACATAAGCTTCGTGCTGTGGATCGCTGGATAGGCAATAACTGTTCCAGAACAGTTCATCCCAAATATTCAGATGTGTGCAGCGCATTTTATGGAGGACTGTTTCCTGATCCTGGTAGAGAAGACTACAATGCTGGCTGTTCTGACTCTCAGTCTGTTTTCATATGGATTTGCCACTGATGATTCAAACGCAAGTTTTGAGCAGTGTAGAGTAGCACTTGTTGTTTGTCATTTCTCCGATCACAAATGCAGACATGGTTTTATGTTTACGGGGTGCGACGCAACGCGTAAAAAGACAGTATGTCATTATAATCCGTAATGATGTCCCCACTGGATGCAACGAATGCCTCGTTTGCAATGGGTTTTAATGTTTTTGTCTCGTCGCTCCATCATAGTATGGTAAGGGGCGTAACATTTCCATCACACGCTTGAGGTATTCAGCCAATCACAACGCACCGGAGAGCTGGCCAATCACAGCACACCTCGCTTTTCAGACCGATGAGCTTTGTAAAAATGCAAAATCATTAACATGTCAGTCTGAACAGGAAAAATGGCAGTTTAAGGAATTTAAGGAATAAACACAAGTTGGTCACCTGAATGTTGAGTAACTGAAAACCTTTGAATTTTGAGTGCTTCGTACATTTCTACACTTTTGTCAGTAGACACATTTTTTGCCTACAAAATTTGACTGATGTGACTGCACCTTAGTAAACAGAAAAAACACTAGGCTAAATGTTGTATTAGTAATATATGATATTGGCCCAGATACCAAATGACAGGTATATATGTGGTAAAATATTGGAGTTTAGAAACACTTTTGTGCCTATGTGAATGAAAGATATGGTGGGCCCTGTTTGCTTCCATTATTTGAGTAAAAGCCAATATATTTTGCATCCTTTGTTTACATAGTGTTCCTAATTATTAAGATGAACTGTTATTATTTACTTAACCTTTTGCTCTTTTTAATCATTACATTTTAAGATGTGAAACATTGTGCTCGCACAGAATGGCCAGAGAGGAGCGTCCTACAAAACTATGAGAACATACAGAGAGTCCGACAAAGATCCAGGTAAATCATCTGGTACCATATCACTTTATCTGATAACTCATTACCATGTCTGGAGCCTTCAGTTATTGTCTTTGTTGAGGGCTTAATGAATCTCAAAGCAGTGTATCAGTGTATGGGGAAAATAGCTTGTGCAGCTAGGAATAGTACATTTGTGGTTGGTTGAATAAATTTCAGTGTCATCCACAGGTGCAGGCTCTTCAGCAGTGGTTCCTCTGAGAGTCTGATGGGGCCTAAAGATAGCCAGAGGGGAAGTTCTACACTGCTGGATGCCAGAGAACTGCTCAAACACTTCACCCCTGATGGACTGCCTAGCGGGGAACTACAGCCGCTGCCAGTGCTTAGAGGGTTGGTCATACATACAGTGTCTGACATGTCTCTTAATGACTTTTTTTCCCCCTAGCTAATTAAAACTGCAATTCAAATCCCTCAAGTCAAGGAGGGAGCATGTGTGTACATGGTAGAAAATTTTAAAACATCATTCATTCCATTTTTTACAACTTTTTTTGTTTTCTTCTTGCACTGGTCTTAAAGGAATAGTTCACCCCCAAGTACTTTATTTATTCACCCTCATGCTGTGTGAAAACCTGTATGACTGACTGACTTCTTTGGAACACAATAGGTGAAATTTTTGAAGAATATTCTGTTCACTCTTTTCCATGTAAAAAAAAATCAGTGTGGGATTTAATATGACCAAAAAAAAAAAAGTATTGAAAAAGTGGTCCATCGGACTTGTGCAGTATATTATATATTGCTGTAAGGAACAGACTATAAATGTCACAAATGCTACAAAAATGGCACATTGATCCAAAGTCAGCTTTGCTTGACATCAAATCCTGGCACAGCACACAAAATGACTCCATATTAAAGAGCTACAGAAAGGGACAGGTTTCAGTAAATAATAACTTTCAGTCGTTGTTCTTCTGTTTGTCAAACAAAACTATCATATGACTTGGAATATAAGCGTTAGTCATATGGACCACTTTTATGATGCTTTTATGGTGTTTATTTTGTTATTTGGGAACTTGACAGACCTATGGAGGACAATAAAATTAAAGAATGAGTTAGCAATTGAATAATTCAAACATAAAAATGGAAAACAAATTACTTTTTAAATGGACATTAACACATTTAAAACTTTATTTCATGTTTTAAAATGTAGTTAAATACATAATTTTTACATTAGTTAATTGACATCTAAAACAGTATAAATTATGTTTTTAAAATGTAGGTAAAAAAAATAGTTAATCATCTTAGGTTCACATTTTAAATGCATTTAAAAAATGCATTTGGAACAACATCAGGGTCATTCCTGATGACAGAATCATTCATTCATTCATTTTTGGTGACCCTATCAAGGGTTATTAAAATAGAGGTTATCTCTAGTAGAGATAAAGATAATACTGAAGACATTGCTTTCTTTTTTAGAGAAAAAAATAAATTGTGTGAAGATTTTCCACATAACTTGGCCTCTACCAGTTACACATAGTCTCTAGAAATCTGCATATTTATTTTTTCCCTGAACTCAATGTCTCTAAATGTGGTTTGTGTAGTGAACATGCGTTTCAGTTGTCTCCTGACCTCACACCCAGGAAGGTGACCAAGCTTCCTTTCTCAAAGGCCACCAGATCCCACTACCACGGAATAGAGTACGTTTATGTGTGTGTGTGTGTGTGTGTGTGTGTCTATATAAAAACTCATCCATTTTACAAACTGTTCTCCCTAATTCTTCGATCTTCTCTATCATCCTCTGGGTGTGTTTCAGGTTTTGTCTGGATGAGCATAAGGCCCTTGAGCGAGACCGTGGCTTTGTGAAGCTGCAGTCTCATCTAATAAGATATGAGACCCAGAGTACATGCTGTAAGGAGCCCTGCCCTGTGCCATTCGCCCTCAGTCCTGCACCCTCCCCAGCCGTGCTGTCTGAACCGGGCAGCGTGCCCGACGTGGAAGCTCTGCACAGCGAGCCGCCCCGCCTCAAACACTGCTCCCGCGAAACAGACCTCCAGCCACACAAGAGGTGAGAACACCGCGTGCATACTAATGATGAAGGGTCATCATGTCTTTTTCTTACATATAAATCACCACAGGATCAGTTAAAATCAGTTTTAACTTTTATTCGCAGTGCTTTATATAAATTCAATCTCTCATTACGTGCCACAATGGGCTGCAAGAGGGTGCAGGAGGTTTGTGGACAAATTCAAAGAATTAAAAAAAAAAAAAAAAAAAGTTATAATAAAAAATAATATAAAGTTTCAAATTTGCCAATCATTTCATGATTTCTGAATTCTGATCAGTCTTTAGTAAGCAGAAAGAAACTAATCGCTGTTTATATTCTTTAGGTTTATTTTGAATAAGTTAATTTTAATTTTAAGTAAATATTTTTCAGATTGAAAGAAGTCTCTTAGGCTCACCAAGACTGCATTTAATTGATCAAACATGCAGTAAAACAGTAATATTGTGAAATATTATTCTGTTTTAAAATAACTGGTTTCTATTTGAATATATTTTGAAATGTATTTTATTCCTGTGACGACAAAGCTGAATTTTCAGGAGCCATTCCTCCAGTCTTCAGTGTCACATGATCCTTCAGAAATCATGCTAATATGCTAATTTGGGGCGTAATTATTATCAATTATCATTGCTGCTCAAATATTAATAATGATTCTTATTATTAAGGGGTTTTCAAGGCCAGTCTGTTTTAATGATATTCTATTTGCCAGTATTTGAATTAGTCGACCCATCGTTACATGTCACTTCTCGGAAGATGGACATTCTGTTAGACGGTCAAACTAATGTTTGTCCAGTTAGGTTAATTTTCTGAAACTGTCAGTTCATTGATTCTCCCGTGTGGCTAATTTTAGTTCTGCCTGCTCATCATTTCCTTCCTCTGCACCTCCGTCCCTCCACTTTACATGCATTTGAATGCGCCATAAGTCACTCGCACCCAAATTGAATATAGATCTGCACTTGATGGCTTTGTCAAAGAGTGAAATGAGCAATGAATGAAAATAACTGAGCAGCGCTGCAATGAATGTCAAAGTCTTGCTATTTTTATTAATGTAGGCCCTCTCTAAATGCGCTTTACATATGGCAGTGATCAAATGTCTAATGTTTGGCCTTCTTTGCTGCCACAGAAGCCCAGGGTGCATTAGATGATGTGTGTGTCAGGACATGAGATTATTGACTATTTATTTTTTTATTGAATGCTGACCTACTGCCAACTCCAAAGGCCACATTAATTTAAGGCCTATCATCATCTCAGACTTTGCTCCACTCTGAAATCACCACAGCGGTGTCACATCATTGGCAACTAAACACACAAGCCAGAAAATTTATATTCAAGGGAGAAAAAATAAATAAATAAAAATGCAGGAACTGAACAGTTTCTTATTAAATGGGCTCAGAAAGAGAGTGCTTGAGCTGAGATCTCCAGAAGAAAAAGAGGTATAAGTGTGTGCTCCAGTGCTTAAGTAGATCGTCACATCAAGTCATTTTGATTAGAGTTTTGAGGTGAGTTATAAAGTGAGATTGTTGGATTGATGAACTCAGAGAAACAATATCTTACACCATCCACCTCATCCACTTTAAAATCCCTTTCTCAGGTTCTGTAAATCGGAGAGCTCTGAATCTCTGGGTGCAGGTGGTACTCACCCAGCAGTGGGGGCTTTACGGCAGCAAGCAGCCCATTCCCGTTCCAGCTCAGGTCTGGCCAGACGGTCTGCTTCGGTTGCCGACCCCTCACCCAGTAGAACACCGCGTGCATACTAATGATGAAGGGTCATCATGTCTTTTTCTTACATATAAATCACCACAGGATCAGTTAAAATCAGTTTTAACTTTTATTCGCAGTGCTTTATATAAATTCAATCTCTCATTACGTGCCACAATGGGCTGCAAGAGGGTGCAGGAGGTTTGTGGACAAATTCAAAGAATTAAAAAAAAAAAAAAAAAGTTATAATAAAAATAATATAAAGTTTCAAATTTGCCAATCATTTCATGATTTCTGAATTCTGATCAGTCTTTAGTAAGCAGAAAGAAACTAATCGCTGTTTATATTCTTTAGGTTTATTTTGAATAAGTTAATTTTAATTTTAAGTAAATATTTTTCAGATTGAAAGAAGTCTCTTAGGCTCACCAAGACTGCATTTAATTGATCAAACATGCAGTAAAACAGTAATATTGTGAAATATTATTCTGTTTTAAAATAACTGGTTTCTATTTGAATATATTTTGAAATGTATTTTATTCCTGTGACGACAAAGCTGAATTTTCAGGAGCCATTCCTCCAGTCTTCAGTGTCACATGATCCTTCAGAAATCATGCTAATATGCTAATTTGGGGCGTAATTATTATCAATTATCATTGCTGCTCAAATATTAATAATGATTCTTATTATTAAGGGGTTTTCAAGGCCAGTCTGTTTTAATGATATTCTATTTGCCAGTATTTGAATTAGTCGACCCATCGTTACATGTCACTTCTCGGAAGATGGACATTCTGTTAGACGGTCAAACTAATGTTTGTCCAGTTAGGTTAATTTTCTGAAACTGTCAGTTCATTGATTCTCCCGTGTGGCTAATTTTAGTTCTGCCTGCTCATCATTTCCTTCCTCTGCACCTCCGTCCCTCCACTTTACATGCATTTGAATGCGCCATAAGTCACTCGCACCCAAATTGAATATAGATCTGCACTTGATGGCTTTGTCAAAGAGTGAAATGAGCAATGAATGAAAATAACTGAGCAGCGCTGCAATGAATGTCAAAGTCTTGCTATTTTTATTAATGTAGGCCCTCTCTAAATGCGCTTTACATATGGCAGTGATCAAATGTCTAATGTTTGGCCTTCTTTGCTGCCACAGAAGCCCAGGGTGCATTAGATGATGTGTGTGTCAGGACATGAGATTATTGACTATTTATTTTTTTATTGAATGCTGACCTACTGCCAACTCCAAAGGCCACATTAATTTAAGGCCTATCATCATCTCAGACTTTGCTCCACTCTGAAATCACCACAGCGGTGTCACATCATTGGCAACTAAACACACAAGCCAGAAAATTTATATTCAAGGGAGAAAAAATAAATAAATAAAAATGCAGGAACTGAACAGTTTCTTATTAAATGGGCTCAGAAAGAGAGTGCTTGAGCTGAGATCTCCAGAAGAAAAAGAGGTATAAGTGTGTGCTCCAGTGCTTAAGTAGATCGTCACATCAAGTCATTTTGATTAGAGTTTTGAGGTGAGTTATAAAGTGAGATTGTTGGATTGATGAACTCAGAGAAACAATATCTTACACCATCCACCTCATCCACTTTAAAATCCCTTTCTCAGGTTCTGTAAATCGGAGAGCTCTGAATCTCTGGGTGCAGGTGGTACTCACCCAGCAGTGGGGGCTTTACGGCAGCAAGCAGCCCATTCCCGTTCCAGCTCAGGTCTGGCCAGACGGTCTGCTTCGGTTGCCGACCCCTCACCCAGTCAAAAACCCAGCCAGACCCAGACCGAGTCCCGCTCCCAGAAACACAACAGGGTGAGTGCCAATTACCAGGCCCAGGAGAATTTACATTTTCACATTTTCTGCAGAGATTTGGGGTAAAATCTGCCTTAGGAATGCACTAGTAATGCACAATAATATATGTTGGTAATGTTTTGTTTATTAAGGTACGTTATAATATATATATAATTTTTTTAAAGAAATATTTTCTGTGTTTTTGCCTTTATTTGTAGAGGACAGTATGGAGTGTAGACAGGATGTGAAACAGGAGAGAGGGGGTGGAATGGGCAAGTTTTAAAAGTTGGGTCACCCGAAGAGCAATCGCGCTATATTTCAAGAGCGCTGGCCGAGAGGCTATAGACAAAAATAGGTCAACATTGGGTATTTACTTGTTCATACTTACTTCACTTTTTTTATATTTAGATTACCTTTTACTGTCATATAATGTTCATTTAAAATGCATTTTTTTTAACACTAATTTTTAGCAAATCTCAAAATGAATATCCATTTTTATTACTGTACGTTATAATGTTGTAATGCCTAAATTCACTTATAATATTTTTGAAAAGACAGAGGTTTTTCAGTTTTTGACAGTTTGGATAGTATAAAAAAATAGTAAAAAAAAAAAAAAAATTCCAATTGAATAGCATTCGTTCAAAGCATTAATTTATTGGTATCAGCCAGATATGTAATATTGAAGATATTTAAGCAGAACCTATAGGCAAACCCTAAATAGGTTTATTTTGCAATAATGGCCAACTGACTGTGAATTATCCAGCTTATAACATTACAACTTGACAAATTATATTGGTATGAAATATTGATTTAAGTGTTAAGAGACATAAAAAATGGTACAGCTTTGTAGAAAATTGGTGTCCAGGGACTAGAGTCAAATATGCAGTTTAAGGGTCATTATACCAAAATATCTGACCACTGATTGCCGCATTTGACCAGAATTGAGTATTCTAGAGAGCCATGGAATAAGACAAAACAGCTCTCAACCCATTCAAATCCTTAAACCTTTTACTTTATTCCTTGAGTCATCAGCAAATGTCAGGTCTTTATGTGAGGTCTGTGAGTGCAGTAGTTACGTGATTGTGCATCGTTCTCATCCGTTGTTTCTGCTTCAGATGCTGAGGGAGGTGGTTGCCAAGACGCTGAATAAACAAGGGATCAGCAGTGAGCACAAGTGCTTTGAAGCCTGCAGTCAAAGACTGTTTGACATATCAAAGTTTTATCTGAAGGTGGGTACGAATCATTCTGCCTCTTTCCCTCACACCCTGCTGTCCTGCCTTTAGGACATCTTTGAAGCTCTCAAAATATGCTGCGTAAACGCTGTCGATTGATGTTATCTACAACATTTATCCATGATGGGGGAGCAAAAACTTAGTTCAGGTAACCAATTTTCAATTCAATTCGCTTTGTTCCTAAAGCATTCAGTGAGCAAAAAAAAAATCACTCTTTTGTAGTACCTATTTTTGCCTAAAGTTGTTTTTGTCAGGATTTTTTATGTGCACCAAAATCATTCATAATGTACTTAATTTATACAGGCTGTCTCTGCTAGGGTACCTTTAAGACCTCAGTATATAAATGGCCTCTGTTATGATAGGCTCGCCTTCACTTACCAGCACAGTCCTCCGTGTTGTTCATCAGGACGGGCCAAGTTGATGGATACTGAATAGACGTAGATATTCCGTGTAAACATGGGTGGTATTAGGTGCTCATGGTTGTGAGTTTTGACGTTTCACTTGTCACGGATATGTTAACTTTTAAGTTGATTAATTATTAGAGAAAATATACATACGTTCATATTTTCGTTTAAAATTAATTCTCATAACAGTACGCAATAGTCAAACTCAAAACACATTTATGCATAAATACATTTAGAGCATTCGCGTACATTACCATATAAAAAATAATTTAATTTATCTAATTTAAATAATAGCAAAATTGCCCCATGACAGCACTCTCATCATGGATGACTAATTTTGTTGGTGCTGAATGAACCTCAAATTTTACTCACAATTTCACCCTCGTTCCCGCCGAAATCTAAATCGAGTATCCGTACTCCATCATCAGCAGACATCTTCAGCTTTTCAAACGGGTAACTGAAGAGAGGCTGTGCCACAGAGCTGTTTTCTCCATCAGCTATAACAGAGAAACCTCGCTCATAGTGAATGACCAACCGACAGTCCTGACCCCGATACATACAACCTGAAGAGACAAACACAAAAACACATCAAGAATACTCAGAATTATTAAACAACTGCCATGATTACCATAAGAAATTACTTGGAGTTGTCATACCAGAGGGTTAAAAAGCAGACATGTGAAGCTGTGAAATATTAAAGTACTATTTTTGAGAATTTTCTTTATTATTATTATTAGATCTCTGAAACTGTCTAAATTGTACTTTTGAAGTGCAGCTACTTTTCTGAGTGGATGAAATTCTGCCCAGTTTACTGAATTATTCACATAGATGCTTTTTCATTTCTGATATTAAAGACTCGGGTACAATTTTGTTATAAAATATATTTTACAAGTACTATAAGAATCCAAATAGTAAATATATGAATACAGTAAGGCTACATCCACACGAAGCCAGAGCTTTCCCTATCCAATCTTTTTTTTTTTTTCCCTCGCCTCAAGAAATATCTGCGTCCACACGAAACCACAAAACGATGTAGTATACATGCCAGACCAGTATGTATCTTCTGCCACAGAGATGCACTAAAAACAGAGAAGACTTGGACTATGCGCATAAACCTTGCACGGGTATACAAACGAACATGGAACATTACATGTATTAATCTGTTAATGTTAGTTGATAAAAAGACAATCGTTCAGTGTTTTTGTTGCTGTTACGTGACGTAGCGGTGTCTGACTAGGGGCCAGATGTGGGCTGATGACGTCATCGTTTCAGAAAATATACGGATTCGCTGTCAACACGAAAACGCAAGGGTGGCGTTTTCAGATTTATCCACTCTTGGGACCCGGTTTAAAAAAAAATATCGGTTTCACTCTCCCAAAACGCCGGATCCGTGTGGACGAAACGCCTATACGATACAAAATGTATGCATATACAGCTAAACGCGTCTCCGTGTGGATGGGCCTAAGAGTTAAAGTACTAATGGAACTGCACATTCCATTAAGGTGCGAATAAAATGAAAAAGGGTTCCATTTGTGAGATAGATGTCCTTTGATTCGCCTGATAATTGGTACATTATTCATCACCAGTAATCCCTGCTCAATACCTCCCTGGTTTCATCAAATACATCACAGGACTCCATGTATCCAGTATCGCCCCTCCAATACATTCAATTACAGCTCATCAGGCACCACAGGAGGTGTGGAAACCTACTGTTACCGTGCCTATTGTGAACGTGCCAGTGATCCACTTCAGCTGTTCCCTCCATTTGCCCCAATAAAGCTCCCTGAATCTCTCTTTGACCGGGTAATTGTGAGGCTAGTGTGTCCTTTTCACATTGTGTATCTTTGAGAAACCCCTCGGCTCAGACCATTAGGCTGATTAGATCATCACAGCAATGAAATAGCATCTTCTGCAGTTTACCCATTAAATTGGAATTACACTGACATTAAATACTCAAACATGTATTAATTACGAACTTTGGGTGAGGGGCTCCTAAAAAGGGGATTTCGAACTTCTGTTCCCATTTTACTCTTAACAATACTGTAACCGTATCCCCATCAAAACGGACTGATTTTCAAGACCAAGGGACTCTTTCCCACCACATGGGCTTTTAGTCCGTCACAAACTGCCTCTCCTTCTCCATCAACGGCTTAGCATAGAAATTGTTCGGCCTCCTAACTCTTAACAGCTTTGCAATAATTCAGTAACTCAGCAATTTAGTGTTCCTCATGTGTCTATGCAGGCTTATCTTTACCAAATTAGTAATAACACCACATTTACTTTATATAATTTTTTAGTAATCCTGAAAGTACATCTAAAGAGAACAAGAAAACCCAACAATATAATACATACACTACAGATACTATACTATAAATGGAGCCAGAAAACGGTTGCTGTATTGGGCCGTGCAAATGAAAGAAATGTGGAAAGTGCATGTTACATGTTTTAGAGAAATCAACACAAATGGCTTATAGTTGTCAGATTTTTTTTTAATATGTATTTATTACATTGTTTTTATTAGCATTTATATTTATTTTTTAAAAAACCTTTTAACAGCAAAAACAGAGCATTTAACATGAACCATTTTTTATATTTATCCACACAAAGTGCACCATAAATCTGTTCAGTGAGCTGTCTAAAATTAATCAGCAGCAGCATAATACTAAATTGTATTACATTCTCATTTGCCCTTAGGTTTTTTCTAATTTTTTTGTTGTGACTTTATCATTACAAGCTGAAAGAGGATTTTAGACTCTTGTGGTCAGCAGTAAAATATATAACGTCCCACAAAATGAGAACTAAAAAAAAATAATCTTTGGAGACAAATTCTCTGAACAGATTATAAGATTAGACTAAACACAGGTTAATAGAGCATCAGCTGCCAAATGGGTCTTATCCATAAAAACTCAAATATGGAGCAGCTCTAAGATTCTAACGCAAACAGGATCTTTTTAAGGGAACAAATGTCAAATCCAGTCTAACGTGTTATTCGTTGTGTTAAATGTGTCTGGTTTGTTTTGAGAGGATCTGCACTGTTGCTCTTTTCTTACAAACTCAAAGTAATCATCATGTTCTCCCAAATGTATTAATTAGAGAGTGACGTGTTGTAACAAGGTCAGTCTATTTATATTGTTTCTTTCAGAAGTTCTCACAGCACTGTTAACATGCTTAACTTATGACAATAAAATCAACATTAATCATTGCTCAGTTTAACCTACTTGCCATTGTAGCTTTGTAGATTAAGTAGAAATATCTCAAAGCCTGATCTCAGAACAGTGAAAATATCTAACAGAAGGGGAAAACCGCAAAATATCCAAGTAAGGCGCAGTGATCTCCAGGGGCTCACATGCAGTTCAGTAATGGCAGATACATTTCCTATCAGTCCAGGCTCGGGGGCTGCCTGAGAGCTTCAATTCCCAGAATGCTTTGCTCGGTGCCCATCGCCTCGCCTGCTGCATTGAGACCACACAGGAACTTTGCCATGGCATTCCATTCTATAAATACACTCATAATCGACTGCAATATGATTAACGCACATCCAAAACTCAGAAATATTGCAGTGCAGCACAGAACGTTTCAAATTCACAGTAGAGTTGGAGCCATGGACCACGACCTCAGATGACCGATCTGCATTTATCTTTGCATGAAAGTTTTCGAGTATCCACAAATCTACATTTGACAGAAGTATGTGTATAATATTCAAGAAACTATAGCCTTAAAAATAATATAAACACAACATTGCACAAGAAAATAAATGAAATCCTGGGCCAACATGGATCAACACTTACTGCAAAGTTCCAGACTACTGCTAACTAAGACAGAAAACAAACTGTTGCTACAGAGAAAAGCTGATGGCAGATTGTATCCACTACTACTGATATTTGGACAATAAATGCCTGGTTACACGAAAGTCTGTTATACATTTACAAATGTGTGAAATATCTGATGCTAAATGTGTATATATATATATATATATATATATATATATATATATATATATATATATATATGAATGATGCATTTATATAGCACTTTGTGTATTTTTGTACACCCAAAGCGCTTTACAATCATGTGGGGGGGGTCTCTCCTCAACCACCACCAGTGTGCAGCATCCACAGGACAACGGCGCCAGTGCGCTCACCACACACCAGCTACAGGTGGAGAGGAGAGAGAGTCATAGAGCCAATCAAGTGGTTGGGGATTACTAGAAGGCCATGATTGACAAAGGCCAGGGGGGCAATTTTGGCCAGGACACCGTGGTTACACCCCTACTCTTTACGAGAAGTGCCATGGGATTTTTAATGACCACACAGAGTCAGGACCTCGGTTTAACGTCTCATCCAAAAGACAGTGCTTTTTGACAGTATAGTGTCCCCCATCACTACACTGAGGCATCAGAACCCTGAGCACCCCCTGCTGGCCTCACTAACACCTCTTCCAACAGCGACCTAGTTTTCCCAGGAGGTCTCCCATCCAGGTATTAACCAGGCTCAACCCTGCTTAGCTTCAGTGGGCAACCAGTCTTGAGGCATCAGAACCCTGAGCACCCCCTGCTGGCCTCACTAACACCTCTTCCAACAGCAACCTAGTTTTCCCAGGAGGTCTCCCATCCAGGTATTAACCAGGCTCAACCCTGCTTAGCTTCAG